ATTTACATTATTCGGACTATTGTCCTCATCTTTGTCGCCATATTTATCACAACGTTTCGGCCGTTGTACGCTCCGTCCTCAAGGACACGTGGCACAGTGGATAAAGGCGTTGGTTAGATCCAGTGACAAGACCCAAAGAGTTGTGAGTTCAATACCCGGTTAAGGCAGTGGAGAACTTTCAGAGGGAAAATTAACAGGAGATAACTGATAGCTGACATCCATCAAACATGGCACGTGGAACTAGAACAGTCTACCCCAGGCAGCGAAATAAAGGGTTCGACATTCCAACCACCTGAAGAAAGCCGGAGCATACAACGGCCGAAACGTTGTGATAAATATGGCGACAAAGATGAGGACAATAGTCCGAATAATGTAAATAATGTACATAAAGATCTACTATACATAGCGTCCCTAAAGTTTAGACACATAGAAATCTCATTAACTATATTTTTTTACCTCAACAGATGAAACATGGTTTTATCGAAAGAAGAAAGGATTGATTTCTTTTTCTGTAGGAGAAGGTGTACTCAATGAAAATCACAGATGCAACACACTTGATTGAACGCATAAAGAGTGAACAAGCCAAAATTGACAGCAATGTGGAGTTATTGTATCGAGTTCATGTGAATCTTGCAAAGGGCATCAACCTTTGTATCACAAATGATGCAAATCATATTGAAGATGCTATTTGTTAATATTACAATTCAATAAAATATTGTCGAAAACTTCATTTCTTGAACATATGCATTTTTGTCTAGGATGTCAAAATTTAAAGACACCGTGTACAGTACCGTAATCCGAGCTATCGACTTGGCTAATAACAAACAATAAATGTATCTCTTCCGCAGTCTTCATATAAAGTACTTCTTCTGTGTGCTGTGTACCTCCAGAAAGGTAGATAGTCATGGCTCTCCACTACGTCCTTTCCTTTATAGCTCTTAGTAAAAATTGTCTTTTTGCTATCTCTCCTAATCCCTGTTCTGCCAACCATTTATCCAAGCTCTTTAGGTAGTTTACTCGCTGTTTCCCTTTGACCCTTTTTCCTTCATTATGTCTAGTGAGTGTCAAACTCTCTAAACCTTCTTTCTTCATTATATGCTTTAGAAATTTCTGTTGTCTATTTTTTATGTTTTATATAAGCGTCCTTTTTGTTTCCATCAACCTTATCAATGTTATCTGTTAATATTCTAATTCAAGAAAATGTTGCTGAAAATTTAATTTCCTTGAAAAGATGCATTTTTGCTCATAAGTCCAGACTTTTGAGACACGCTGTATATCGACACCTATAAAAGATGGGAAAAGTTAGTAAACTAGATTTTCGGGTTCCACACGCTCTTAGCGAAAAGAACAATGTTTGTTGGTTGGTTTAATGGTATATCAATTCCTTATGGGTCATTTAATGACGAAATTTAAATTAAGTTTCATGGGAACTTTGGTATTTTTTTTTTACTATTAAAATCTATTGATGATATTTTTACTATTTGCTCATATCTGGGGCCCTAACAGAAGTTACCACCCGGGGTCAAATTTGACCTGGGAATGAACAGCAATTAAGAGGTGGTTTCACGTTCCTCGACTACCCATCCATTTGCTGCTGGATGTAATTTATTGCAATAACCACGACAAAAATGAATTGATAAACCAAAAGCGAAACTATTGATGACTCAACTTTTAAGATGTACGGCGTCCGTTAAATGATTACGTATAACTCAAGATTTCAATGTTAAATAAAACAGTATTTAATTACGACCGCAAATAACAAGAATAAAGAAGTAAAAGTCAAGCAAAAAAAGCACATAACTATAAGAAATATTATACAACAGCATCATATTCTGTTTTTGTCAATAAAACCACCATCTACCTTAATTTCTTCTTTACAAATTCTTGGCAATCTACCCAACAGTTTTTTTTTATTAAAAGTAGATCGCAGACCTTCTCAAGTATTCTTCAAGCAATGAAAAAGCTCACTCTCACTCTTTGGACATTCTCTTTGAACGCTCCTATCCAAAATCACCCCATACTAATTCAATAGGTGATAGATCAGGAAACTGAGGCAGCCAAGTCAATATTTACAAAATTTTGTTAAAAGGATTTTAAAGGTGGATTTATTTCCATTTATGCGTAAATCAGATATAATTTCAGTAACTACAGTGCATATCATTTTATTTTTCAGTCATTCTCGGAGCTTTTCTTCATACCAAAACTTTCAAATTTAGATTCGTCTGTCCGCCATACATTTTGCTAAATCATGAATATTTTGTATGAGAAACTTTTGTGACGTACGATGGCCGTTAATAATTAAGTATAACTCAAGACTTCAATGTTAAAATAAAACAATTTTTAACTACAACCACAAATAAATATTTAACAAGAACAAAGAAGTAAAAGTCAACCAAATATAATTAATCATTTCAGTGAATACCTTGTTAGTAGCGCGGCTCAGCTTAACGTCTGGTAAATCTTAAATCAAAACCCAAATCAACGACGTACTAATTTGATTGGATAGTTCCACTCAACAGTTACTCAATAATCACTCCAGTCAGTAGGCTGACACCGCTATTTATACACCTGGCGGAAAACATATACTCATAAGACCAGAGTATCACGATCGAACCTCGGTGTCGGTAGGTACTCATTTTCTTTCTATATGACATCAACTCAATACATTCAGAGCTGAAATATCTCTCAAATAGTTCGACTTGACCTATTCAAAGGTCACTAAAGGAATTGTATACAGTCGGTTCTACTGAAGCAAAGTGGCCACGATTGGGATTTCCCCCTTACTGAATTTGCAATTTCTTGTTTTTTTTAGCGTCGGGGGTGTCTGAGGAGGAGTAAAACAGCTCTCAAGGTTAGTAAATGATTACATATACATATAGATATCACTGGAATCAGATAGATAGATAGATAGATAGATAGATAGATAGATAGATATCATTGGAATGACAAAGATAGATAGATAGATAGATAGATAGATAGATAGATAGATAGATAGATAGATAGATAGATAGATAGAGTAAGAAAGAAAGAAAGAATAGAGAAATATAATATAAAGAATACTGTGATAGATATCATTGGAATGAGATAGATAGATAGATAGATAGATAGATAGATAGATAGATATCATTAGAATTAGATAGATAGATATGAGCAAAATGAATTAGATAGATAGATAGATAGATAGATAGATAGATAGATAGATAGATAGATAGATAGATAGATAAAGAAACAATCTAATCCTTGTAATCTCCACTTTCTACCACGATATATCATCCATCATCAAAATTTCTACAACAACCATCTCCTTTGTGTGGCTCTCTAGCTTGTGTTAGGTAAATTTTAATGATAAAAATATTATAAAATTTGTTCTGCACTCTCATGAAGCGAAAACCCAAGAGTAGGATAAATAGTGAATCCCAGTTTGATACATTTAAAATTATACAATATTTGGAAAATTTTAAATTATAAATGGTTTTAATTCAAGTGTCTAGACGCAGAAAGAATGTCTGGGTTGCCAGGTGATTCGACATATCGTAAATTAAAAAAATGCAGCTATGTGATTGTAAGATAGATAGATAGATAGATAGATAGATAGATAGATAGATAAAGAAGAAAGAAAGAATAGAGAAATATAATATAAAGAATACTGTGATATATAATTTTTGTATAATTTTATATATCAAAAGTCCAGTGCTATGAAATCTTAACGGATGAAACACGTCACAAAAAACTTTTCAGTTTCTTATATTTTTCTAAATACATAGATAAGAACAGACTGAGATAGCCTTTAGGAATATTATTATTATTATTATTATTATTATTATTATTATTATTATAAATAAATAAATAAATAAAAATAAGATATAAAATAATAATAATGAAAATTATAAATAAAATAAAATAAAGCAATATCATAAAAACGTTGTATAAAATAAATTAAATTAAAGTAATGAAAAATACTCCTAGCATACAACAAAAATTGTTCTTGCCAGAAATACGGATATCCCGCCAAAAGACGTTAAATTCGATCTCTCCATCACGAACCTTGGTACGGGTAACACGTGTCCGACATCTCTCTGTGTTATGGCGTGTAATGAAGTAAATTCTCCCTTTTATCACATGTACCATAAAACAATTGTAACCTAAAAATCTAAATTAATTATATGAAAGTAACATACAATTTAACATGCTTTTTCCTCTTAATTGGGTACGTTTTATTTTTTGTCACCTATGTTTTTATCTCCGTGAACACAAGGTTAATTTCTGCTGCTATGATGTAAGTGAACGCCCACAAGAGAAACACGGAGAATGAGATAGAGTGACATTATAAAAAAAATGTACGTAATTCTCTGGTTAAATGTTATAGATCTTTCGCACACTCTTATCTCCGAGGACGAATCTCCAGTTTCTCAATATTCGGACAACAAATACTTCAAGATATTTAGATTGCTTAACCAATCGAAATGCTTACGATTGCCAATTATCCATCCTGATATATTTTCATTTCTCGTGTAAGAATAAAATTAGAGGATTGACCATTTTAAGATTTAAGACTGCAACAGGAATATCAATTCAGAAAAATTATATCGCAATTGGATCTGAGGGAAGCTGACGAATATTTATTGCATGTTATTTCTTCGGGGCACGGTTTCCTTTCAGAGATGATGAATCACCATGCTGCACAGATTTGAGAATGGCAGTTGCGAAATGTTACTAAGCAAGTTTTCTTGCCAACTCGGTCTTCAGCGAATCGAATATAAACAATGACTACATAGAGTATGACACTGGAATAGTTCACATTACAAAATATGGAAAATGTCAAAAATGATTAAAAGAATTGGTTCATGTTTCCAAAGTAATCTCGTTGGACAGTCCGGGGCGTAAAATAATGATGACTTTTGAAAATAGTCCCCCCGCCTCTCTCTCCACGTCTCTCTCCCCCTCTCTCCCCTCCCCCTCTCTCCCTCCTATCTCTCTCTTTCTCTTCATTGGTAGATAGATTAAGAAAGTATAGAGATATAGAATATAAAAAATAATGGAAAAGGCTGAGATAGATAGATAGATAGATAGATAGATAGATAGATAGATAGATAGATAGATAGATAGATAGATAGATATAAAGAAAGCAAACAAGAGAAAGAGAGAAAGAAACAATAAATATAATATAAAGAATAACGGCGGAGACTGAAAGAAAGAAAGAAAGAAAGAAAGAAAGAAAGGAAGAAAGAAAGAAAGAAAGAAAGAAAGAAAGAATGGAGAAATAGACTATAAAGAATCAGGGCGGTGACTGAGATAGATAGATAGATAGATAGATAGATAGATAGATAGATAGATAGATAGATAGATAGATAGATAGAATAATATCTAGCAAGAACGAAAAAGAACGGAAGAAAAAAGAAAGAAAGAAAGAAAGAAAGGAAAAAGAAAGAAAAAAGAAAGATAAATAAATAGCTAGAAAGAAGATAGATAGATAGATAGAGATAGATAGAACGAAAAAGAAAGAAAGGAAGATAAATCAACAGCGAGTAAGACGATAGATAGATAGATAGATAGATAGATAGATAGATAGAAAGAATAATATATAGCTAGAACGAAAAAGAACGAAAGAAAGAAAGGAAGAAAGAAAGAAAGAAAAAAGAAAGATAACTAAATAGCTAGAAAGAAGATAGATAGATAGAAGGATAGAACGAAAAAAAAAGAAGGAAAGAAGAAACAAAGATAAATACCGAGAAAGAAGATAGATAGATAGATAGATAGATAGAAAGAAAGAAAGAAAGAATGAAAGAATAATACATAGCTAGAACGAAAAAGAAAGGAAGAAAGAAAGGAAGAAAGAAAAAAAGATTAATAAATAACTAGCTAGATATATAGAGAGATAGAACGAAAAAGAACGAAAGAAAGATAAATACCTAGAAAGAAGATAGATAGATAGATAGATAGATAGATAGATAGATAGATAGATAGATAGATAGATAAAGGGAAGAATAAATATAGAATA